CCTTCGCCGACGCGGCCGTGGGTCGAGCCGCCGCCCCAGCGCGCTTGCTCGAATGAGGTCTGTTGTCCGGTTTCCGGGGGGCCCTCTTCTCGCCGACGCGGCATCGCCCCGTCCTTGTGTCGGGCTTCCTACTCCTCTTCTCGCCGATGCGGCATCGCCCCATCCTTGTGTCGGGCTTCCTAGCCTTCATGGCTGGCGGTCTCGAGCCAAAACGGCACGGGAGAGCCCGGGGCCGGGGCCGCCTGAAGGCCCTCGGCCTTACTAATTGTTAGCAGCACATGTAAGTAGGTTATAAGTAAGTTGCAACTAGGTTGCAAGTAAGTTATAACCATTAGTAATGTTACTAAGTCGGCTAACTCGGGCGGTGCATTTGGAGGTAGATAGCTTGAGTTAGCGAAGTTGCTAACTTCGCTAACTTTTACATGCTTACGTGAAATCAGAGCTGCTGCATCGGGTTTTCCTTGGATGTTGCCTCCAGAAACGCATGCATGTGTTTGGATTTTCGGGATCACGCATATCGGAAATCATGATCAAGACTTGCGTGCGAACGCATTCAGAATATTGTATCGAGCGTTACAATAATGTTGTGCATTGCAAATGCAACATATCATTTCGAATTCGCAACCCTCTGTTGCACATGTTTTTGAATGTCACTAGAGTTTGGGCTCCAGCCCTTTGGGCGAGGATTGCTGCTGGCGCTTGTGGCGTCCTCCTGCACGCGGCGTGATGAACGCCTCCCGTGAACAGCAGATCGCGGAGGTCCGCCCCAAGATGATGGCCATCAAGGACATGCACTTGCATCCTGATGCAGCGGTGGTCTCATTACTTGAAGACGTATGCAGCATTGCAAGAGGCATAGACTGCCTGAGGGTAGAAAAAATACACTCGAAGTATATGATGGTGTGCACAGAGAATCGTTACGGAGATGGAATCATTCCGAGCGAGGTTATGGATTTGATGTCCAAGATCTTCAAACATGGATTCAAGAACTCAGCCCTCCAGAATCCAGCTTGCATGGAACTTCCACCAGTGGGCACGCCTGAGTACAATGCAATCAAGAACTTCAATTTCGAAATAATGGAGGACTCAGCGGGCCAGCTGCCGCAGTATGATTGCGATGCAAAGTTCGCATCCTATACGTGCGGCCACACATCCATGGTTTTGCGTTGCATCAACGCAGGGGTTCCAGCACCCACGGTCATGCCAGAGCGTTTCGACAGAATCTCGCACCAAGGGAAATTGTCACTGACGAGGTTACGGGAGGTTCAACCAGACTACGCTAAGGCGTGTGACGAAGGAATTGAGTGGAAGGTCTTTCGGTACGAGTTCGTGAAGGAGTTCCCGTGGATTAGTACTCTTGCTCAGGAGGCTGGCAATGCAGGCCAACAAATTGCCAGATGCGAATCTCGCATGAGTCTCATGTACAAGATCGCAGCAATTGCCAACCGACACCACACGGGTGGCACCATGATCGATTGGGATAGTGTGATCCGCGAGGCGACTCGCGCAGGCTCTCTCTTTCCTGGGGAGATCGATGGCTTAGTAAAATATGTGAAGGAGGTGTCTGGCGGCCTCGGCAACCCGATCTTTCTGAACGAGCTTCGCGACTTCTCGCGGCAGCTGACCTCCCAGTGCGTGGTCACGGGTTCAATGGCGAAGTCTCTCGCCGAGGTGCAGATCAAGCATGAGGGGGCCGCTGCGACATTCAAGCTCGCATGCTTGAAGGCGATGACATGTGCGACGGGTAAGTTCGCGAGGGATGGCCATCAGATGCTTTTGAAGCCAGGCGACGTGACCGCCTTGTCGAGCGATAAGAAGTCTACGATTGTAATGGTGGCCGATGAATTTCTTCAGAAAGTGCGACAGATCGCATGCGGTGAGGGCATCACGGCAGACACGGTCGCCTACGGCACCATCGGGGGATTGACTGACGTTCGCGTAGTTCATTTCGTGTTCAACAAGCCCGATGAGCGCTTAGGCACTTGCAAGACGCTGAATGACATCGGGGTCAGCTTCACCGCTGCGTTGGCAACGCGCGTTGGCAAAGCAGTTGCTAGCCCATGGAAGCAGATCGGTCGCGAGGGCGCATCCAAAGCCGTGACAGGGCAGGCGCGTAGCTCATATGTGAAAGAGTACACCGCTTCGGGCAAGTGGTCGAACCAAGTGGACAAGCTCAGTGACAAGGGGTTTGAGGTTGGCGCCAAAGTCGCCTTGGCGAGCGACGCCTTGGGTGAGAACATTTACGAGCTGATCTCCATCGACGCTGCGACTGGCGTGAAGTTGAAGCTTCAGGCCACGGGCAGTGCGACATGCCACCCCATCGACGACTTCTTACGTGGCAAGTTCGTCGTGTCCACGATTATGAAGGACAGTCTTGCGACCTCGTCGTAATGCATGTGAAATGCATATACACCCCCGCACCTTTGAATTCTCGTTCGTCGTTCCCTCATCTCATTTGGCTCTGCGTCGTCATGTCTCATCTTTTTTTTCCCGCTGCTCCCCCATAGGGGAAACGATCGACAAGTTCGCTGATCATGGCCCCCTCAAGTCTGTCGATTACCAGTGGGGTATCGAGGAGGCCAAAATCAGGCTGGCCTTGGATGAAGTATACAGCCAGAACGGCAACTGTCTCAAGTACTTGAGTGGCGTGATTACGCCTGTTAAGCTTCGTGCTCTCACCGTAACGCGTTCGTTTGAGGCTGAAGAGCTGGTGCTTGTCCCACTCTCTTCGGCAATCTACTTGAAGAAGCAGACTGATATAGTTCAGTGCGGGCATGTGTTCATGAAGACATACAAGGACCCCAAGGGGTTGACGTTCAATATCGTGTTGGCCCCCAGTGGTGGCATCAAGATGCCTAAGGCTGAGACGAACACTGGCGTTGGAGGGCTGAAGCAGGCACCGTCTTCGCTCGTCATCCCCTTCTGGCTCGCACAGGATTCAGGTGAGCACGGCGCCCCCAACATGACCGTCAAGTCTACAGCTGTCCCATCAGTGTATGTACCAATTTTGACAAACAAGTGCGCCATCAACAAGGGCGATGTCCTTAGCGCCCAGCTGGCATCGCTCATGCCCAAGCGCAAGGTAGACGATGTGCCTGCTGCGCCCGCGGCTAAGAAGGCCAGGGAGCGATGAGGCTCGCGTGTTGGCAGCATCGGTTACACATACCATGTGTCGTGGGGGGTGTTTATGAAATGTATGAAAGCATCGTCGGTATCGTTCCTCTGCAATCGTTGCATCATTGCGTCAACGCGCATCGGACTCGTCTGCAATTGTCCATTGCATCGGCCCGCAGGCGTTTGGCTGTGTCCAAGCGAGTGCACGCTGCATCTGCGCACGCACTGCAGCTGCAGATGGCAGTGAGCGTGCAGCTCCGCACGGCCATCGAGGGGGGCGGCCTTAAGGATCGCGAGCCATGGGTCCCGAGGGCGGTGATGCATACGGCAGGGGGGCTCTTCGTGGAGCTGTCGAGAGCGGATAGGCAGCTGCAAAAATTTATATCTGTGCCCAACCCCACCAAGAGCCAATCGCCTCTGGCGACAAATTCGTTTTTCGATCAGATCTTGAAGATGCGCAACGCCGCTTGCACAGAGGCCATTTGGGACCACTTGAAGCAGGCCGACCCATTGCTTCAGCAAGATTGCGACAGGGCCAGCGTCATTAAGAACAATAGGAGTTCTCTGGATATGTCGCAATCGTGGACGCTTCGCGCATTCCCACCAGGGGAGGAGGAATGAGAGGAGGAGGATGATACATTGGATGATGAGGTGGAGTGGCGGGGGAGGGGGGCGAGGAGGAGGGGCTGAAACAGAGGGGGATGGTGGAGGAGAAATGGGAGGAGGGAAAGGGGGAGGAGGACGGAGCATAAGGATGACAAAAAAAGGATGAGGAGGAGGAATAGGAGATGCCTTCATTCGCTTGCGTGAATAGGCCGCTCTTGGGCCACTCTTGGATCGATCTCTTGACCTTGAGACTTCTTGGGCAATCTAGGATCGCGTGATATCTTGGACAAACTTGGGCAATCTTGGGTCGCGTGATATCCATGCCTGCATGTTGAAGCATCGCGTGATATTGGGACATATCCGTGGACATCTTGAAGTATATATGAGCCCCTCTTGGAACCACCGTCCAGGCAAACCACTCCCCCAAGGGGATGAAGGGCGTAGAAGAGAACGCATTCTAGACATGTGCCCTAAAGGGATGGTGGTCTACCAGAAACTGTCTCGATATATATGCCCGCAGTCCAGTGCGACCATGGTGATGAGCATTTGCATCACGATGCAGTTGCCTTGAAGCTTCTGTTTGAGCTGAATGCTACTAAGAAGGTGTGGGTCGAATGTACGCCAACGGGACTTGAGTGCATACGGGTTGCATCTATCGCAGCAGCGGTTTCATGCAGTCAGGAGGCAACACATCGCTTGCGGTCAGCACCAGCAGGGGTGGAAGGTGTGAAATGCGACAAACGTCGCAGGACGGTGGTCATGGTGGTCGACGGCAAGCGTCTGCAGGAGCGAGTGGACGATTGGACTCCCACGTACATCAACAACGCAGCCCAATCCCTTCGTGATCGCTTAGATACCGAGGCACGTGATGAGGCTGAAGCTGATGGGTCCGAGGAGTACTATGACCCGCCAGTCGCAGCAGGCGATGGCTCGCCACCAGGCGATGGCTCGCCACCAGGCGATGGCTCGCCACCAGGCGATGGTTCGCCAGGCGTTGGTTCGCCGCCAGGTGATGGTTCGCCAGGCGATGGTTCGCCACCAGGTGATGGGCCGCCCTCTTTTTTCACTCGCCGACGGGAGATGCGCCATACGACGCTTAGCTTCCAGTAGCTCCACTCCCTCTTCGCCTTCCCACCTCCACTTCCCTCTCCCTCCAATCTCTATTCTATTTTTGCCTCGCGTGCTCAGTCCGAATCTGGCCCCGCTGGCGGCGGGGACTCAGTAACAGAACTCAGTTCAAGATGCGGAGGGCCATCGTCGCGCATGCCGCTGTTCGGCACATCGGCGCCCCTGCCCATGCTCATGCCCTTGCCCTCGTCGGGGCCCTTGCCGCCATCGTAGCCCCCGCCGCTGTCGAGGGCCGTCGCCTTGCCCTTACCACCGTCGTTAATGCTCTTGCCACCGTTGTAGCCCTCTCCATCGTCGTAGCCCTGGCCACCGTCGTAGACCTTGTCACCGTCGGTGCTGCCCTTGCTACCATCGTAGCCCTTGCCACCGTCGTAGTAGCCCATGGCCTCGTCGTCGATGCCCGCGCCACCGTCGTAGCTTGTACCGCCGCGATCGATGCCATCAGCACCCTTGCCATCGTCGTAGCCCTTTTCGTAGCCCTTGTCGTAGCCCTTGTCGTAGCCATTGACGTAGCCCGTGTCGTAGACCGCGTCGTAGCCCGTGCTCGAGCTGCCGTACGGGTCGTAGCCTTTGTCGCTGCCCTTGCCGCCGTCGTAGCCTTTGTCGAAGCCCTTGCTGCCGTCGTAGCCTTTGCCGCCGTCGCTGCCCTTGCCGCCGTCGTAGCCTTTGCCGCTGTCCGACATCATGTCCTGCAGCCCGTCACGCTGCTCCTTCGCCAGCCTGATGTGGCCCTTGTCGCTGTCGCCGTCTTTGTCGCGGCCCTTGCCGCTGCCGCCATTCTCGCGGCCCTTGCCACTGTCGTAACCCTTGCCCTTGCCACCGTCGTAGCCCTTGCCCTTGCCATCGTCGTAACCCTTGCCACCGTCGTCGTCGCCCTTGCCATCGCTGTCGTAGCCCGTGTCGTAGCCCTTGTCGTAGCCTTTGTCGTAGCCCTTGTCGTAGCCTCTGTCGTAGCCCTTGTCGTAGCCACTGTTGTCGTAGCCACTGTTGTCGTAGCCAAGCAGGATGTCTGCGATGTCGAGGAGCCTGTCTGTGATCCGCCGCTCCCGCTGGAGCTCCTGTATGGAGGGCGAAAATCCGCCGACCTCCCTCCTCCTCCTCCTCCTCCTCCTCCTCCTCCTCCTGCTCCCCCTCCTCCTCATCCTCCTCCTCCTCCTATTCCTTCTCCTCCTCCGCTTCCTCCTCATCATCCTCGCATTCCTCCTCGTCCTCCTCATCCCCCTTCATCCTTCTCCTGTGGCCCTCACCCCGGCAGTCCTCGTGTAGGCGCGCCTCGCGGCTCAGCGCCTCGGCGCTGCACGCCATGGCCGCGCGCGCCACCGCGCGCGGCCACGCCCCCCTGGGAGGAGAAAGGGGCCCCCCAGGGGGCCTCGGTCCAGAAACAGCAGCGCGCGCAAATGGGGGGAGGGGGGGTGCGATTCAGGTGAGGGGGCGATTCGGGTGAGGGGGCGTGGCTGCGTCGCGAATCGTTTCGCGCTGTGCACTCATGGGTGCATGCAGCAATGCATGCGTTGTGTCAGAGTTTACTTGGGGATGTGAACTTGAAAATGAGATGCGTTAGCATCGTCGTCTGCGTTCGCTCGAGACAGCCTCACAATTAACTCAGCATCACACGACCTCACAATGAACTCAGTACCGCGAACCATGATGTTGGTTATGGTATGCCATGCAATGCTACGCTATGATGTGAATATCCCTTCCCGACCTCATCATCCTCCGTTGCCACCGCCGTTTAGGCCCGAGCGTTGCTTGGGCCGCGACAGTGCGCGACCAGCTGCAGCGCCCCACGCGCAGCAGCTACCAGCGCTCCGCGCGCAGCAGCACCAGCTGCATCAGCACCACCAGTGCATCCAGCAGCTCCACGCGCAGCAGCACCAGCTGCAGCATCGCCACCAGTGCAACCAGCAGCACCACCCGCAGCAGCATCACCGGTGCAACCAGCAGCACCATGGCGGACGAGACCGCGGTGACGCTGCTCCTGGGGGCGGCGGAGGATCTCAGTCAGCGGCGGCGCGCCGCGGCCGCCAAGGTCTTGCAGCCCACCAGCAAGGTGGCCCCTCGGCCGCCAAGCACGCCGCCGACGGCGAAGGTCTTGGCGAAGTACGATCGCTCGCGCGTGGCCGACGGCTTGCTCGATGATCTCGAGTTGGCGCCCGCGCTGGATCCCGAGTTGAACCCGTTCCAGGGCCTGCAGGAGTTCATGGACGACGGCGATGGCGACGACACGGGCTACGACTACGCCAGCTACGACGGTGGCAAGGGCATCATCGACGGTGGCAAGGGCTACGGCGGTGGCATAGGCAGCTCGAGCAAGGGCTTCGACAAGGGCCACGACGATGGCAAGGGCAGCGGCGAAGGCTACGACATCGACAAGGGCCGCGACAAAGGCTACCACGGTGACAGGGGCGACGTGGGATACGACGGTGGCAAGGGCGACAAGGGCTACGACCGCCGCTACGACCCGTACAGCTCCAAGTGGTATGACCACCCCAGCTCGTGGTACGACCGCGACAACGATGACTACGACAACAGGTGGTACGACCGCAGGCGCTGGGGCGACTACGACAAGGGCTCGAGCAAGGGCTACGACAGCAAGGGCTACGACAGCAAGGGCTACGACAAGAGTGGCTACGACAGCAAGGGCTACGACAAGAATGGCAACTACCAGCGTGGCTACGACAACCGTGGTTACAACAACCGTGGCTACGACAACCGCGGATACGACAGCAGTGGCTACGACAACCGTGGCTACGACAACTACGGCAACAGTGGCTACGACAGCCGTGACTACGACCGCAAGGGCGACAAGGGCTACGATCGCAAGGGCGACAAGGGCTATGATCGCAAGGGCTACGACGTCGGCAAGGGCTGCGACGGTGACACGGGCTACGGCGGTGATCCAAGCTACGACCGTGGCGATACAGGCTACGACAGTGGCAAGGGCATCGACAGTGGCAAGGGCCACGACGGCGGCAAGGGCGATAAAGTCTACGACGGCGGCAAGGGCTGGCGCGAGGAGAAGTCCCGCGGCGGGCGCCACATCAGGCTGGCGAAGGCCCTTGCCACCAAGGAGCAGCTGGACGGGCTGCAGGACCTGATGTCGGACCGCGGCAAGGCCGACTACGTCAGGTGGAGCAAGCGGGCGCACTGGCGCATCTGGGTGGAAGAAAACAATACAGATCTAGTTCTATCGGGCCCCCTCATCCCTCCTCCTTCAACGGTTCTTACCGCGGACGAGGGGGGGGGGGGGATGAGGGCCAAGAACTGGATATGTAATGTGTTCCTCCTCCCGACATCTGGGCGGAGGCGGCGGTTCGCCGCTGATCTGCAGTAGCGCCAGAATCACTACCAAAGCGGCGCCGAAGCCGCCGCTGCTGCATTAATGTGCCGCCACCAGCGCGGCAGCAGGCGTGGAGTCCATTCTAGACCGCGCGCTGCCTCTCCTCCGTCGGGGATGATCTATTATGGTGGGGGTCGTCGTATGTAAGATTCTAACATACGACGCAGTTGTCGTATGTAAGATTCTAACATACGACAAAGTTGTCGTATGTAAGATTCTTACATACGACGCCGTTGTCGTATGTAAGATTCTAACATACGACGGATGTGTTAATAGAATCCTTATGATATATAAGAGCGAGATGTCGTATGTACGATTCTTACATACGACAACGTTGTCGTATGTAAGATTCTGACATACGACAGATTTGTCGTATGTAAGATTCTGACATGCGACAGATTTGTCGTATGTGAGATTCTGACATACGACACCAAGGGTTTGAGCTCATGTTTAGAGTAAACTTCGAGGGTCTCCATCTCGCTCGTGGTCGACGTTGTGCCTAGAATTGGCTCGTCTGCTTGGCTGCGCTGCCCGCGGCTGCGCTGGGTCATGTTGATAAGAGATGTATGAGCGTGGCGTGAGCGAGAATAAGGGGAAGTGGGATGAGAGGAGGATGCGCTGGAGAAGGAGGACAAGGAGAAGGAGAGGGGGGAAGATTCTGAGGAGGAGGTGGGGGGTGAGGAGGAGGGGGAGGAGGGGAAGGCCCATCCTCCCCCTCATCCTCACCCTCCCCCTCCTACCTTTCTCCTCCTCCGCCTCCTCCTCCGCCGCCGCCGCCTCCTCCTCCTTCTCCTCCGCCTCATCACCCTCCTCATCTCCCCCCACCTCCTCCTCCTCCTCTGCCTCCTCTTCCTTATCCTCATTCTCCTCCTCGTCATCCTCATTCTCCTCATTCTTACTCCGTCTCATTCTCGCCCTCTTCATTCTCAGCATGTCTCCTCCTCGTTCCCGCCGTCGCCGTCGAAGCCGTCGCCTGCGCCGTCATCTGCGCGCGCGGTGCAGGGGAGGGCGGCGGCCACCGTGACGACCACGATTGAACGACAACGAGGATGAGGAGGAGTAGGAGGAGGAGCACGAGGAGGAGCAGGACAAGGAGCGCGCGGAGGAAGAGGGGGACGATGGGGAGGAGGAGAAGGAGAAGGAGGAGGGGGAAGAAGATGAGGAGGAGTAATTGCCATGGCGGCTGCGATAGCGACGGCGACGGCGAAGAGTTGGTGGCGACGAGTTGGCTGCGACGAGTTCGACGGCGGCGGAGACGACGGCGGGGGCGTCTCATCCTGCTCCTCCTCCTGCTCGCCCTCCCCATTCTCCTCATCCTCGTCCTCCTTCTCCTCCTCCCTATCCCTCCCCACCATGCTCACCCCCATCATCCTCCTTCTCCGTCTCATTCACCTCCACCGCCTAACCCTCCTCATCCTATTCTTATTTCTCCCCGTCCTCATTCGTATTCGTATCATCGGTCTCTCCGCAGGGTGCTTTATCGCGCGAAAAGCTGCAACGAGAACCTGAAGGCTCGCATACATGCGTTTGCACGCACAACCCCAACGAGCCCCCATCTAAGTACGCCCCGACACCCACACTCAGGCGGCGTATTCACCGATACCCAAGGCTTTGCGCCCCCGCGCACGATCGGCAGCACCTGCCTCCACAAGGCGATTATTCGCCCGATCAACCGCACCCTTACACATCTTGGCGTTGTCCAAGAGCAACGTGAACGAATCCGCGGCCTGCTCCGCCTTCTGAGCTTCTCCATCTTCTTGTATGCAGCGTCTGCCTTTCGAGTGGGCATGGGCGGGGTTCAGACGTGGCGTTGACACGCCGTTGCTAAGTGCGACCGTTCGCCCAGCCGCTTGAGACCATGCGACCACAGTCGCAACGCCAAGCCATTACACAACCAATTTCACACCCTGACATCATGATAGTACATACCTGCGTGTCAACGCAACCGAACGCGCATGCATACGACTGCATTGGGCGTTGCCTCAACGCCCCCCCCTCCCCCCCCCCCCCCATAGTGTCACAAGTGCGCCCTTCGACGCGAACTACTCGCAGCCGATTGCAATGCGTTTCAACACAACCGAACATGCATACAACTGCATCGGGTGATGCCCAAACGTTTATGCTCTAATCAGCAAATATATTTCGACGTGAATGGATTGCAACCACTTGCGACATGTCATGCATGAGATACTGGCTGCCTTGCGGTCCGCCTTTTTGGACATCTTCTGGCAGCGCTGCTTGTGCCTGATCAGGGCATCCAACCTTTCATTGAAGTGCTCCGTGTCCTCCTTGCGGTGCTTGGCACGCAACGCCTTCAAGCCGGCTGACATGGCAGGCGTAGTCGCGTACACACGCGCGCGCGCCGCAGCTTACAAGCTGCGTTCTCTCAGCCCTCCACCAACTCGGCTGCGTGAAAACGCATGTAGTCTGCGACGCGGTCGCATGGCATGAGTGCCAACCATGTGATCACACATCACTGCCCTACTCATACCCCCCCCACTACATCGACGCCGTGATCGGGCACTCCCGTTGCATGTCCACCCCCAGCCGCCTCCTCATCTCGACCCCTCTCCTGTTCGCACCTCTCGCGCCCCCCCCCCCCCCAGCTTACTACGTGTCGCCAACGATGGCGGGGCTGAACGTTTGGCAAACCGTCAGCAGCATTTGTGGTTCATTCGCCCACCTTTGCGAACCAGTTCACGCGTGGCTTACGCGTCCCCATTTGTGGTTCACGTGTCCATGGGAAAATCAGCGAAGACGATCGCGATGGAAGCGCAGGTGCGCTTTGAGCTGCAGGATGAAAAGCAGGAACGCCAGCGGTCAGTGAAGACTGCCAAGGCGGCATTGAAGCATGCCAAAGCAGCGAAGACGCAGGCTGAGAAGAAGGCAGCCGGTTGTTAACTAACAACAACACAAGGGCCCCTCGAGGCCAGGGGGGAGGGGATGGGCTCTCGAGCCCACCCCCTTAGTCAATGGCCCCATCGGTGTCGCCAGTCCCACCCGCCTCCGTGCGATCGCCCCCCTCCCCCCCCCCCCCCCCGATAGGCAGAGAAGAGGTTCAATGCGTTTTTGAAGAGCAAGGACGCGTGGATGAACGCGCTGCTCGACAAGGATGATGCGAGCGCGGCCCACGTTCGGGCCGAGACTGAGCTGGCGCGCGCCGAGCGCGATGCCCGCTAGGGGCGTGGGGGCGACGGACGACGGGTGGAGGGGTCAGAGAAAAAAACCTGCATGCATCAATGCAAGATGAGTCTGGGATGATAATGTCGGCATGATAGCGCAGGTGCCTCGTCCCCCTCCTCATCTTCCCCCTTCTCCTCCTCCTCCTTCCTCCTCCGCCTCCTCCTCCCCCCTCCCCCCCAATCCTCATCCTCATCCCCATCCTCGTCCTCCCCTTCACATCATTCCCTCTTCGTCCCTCCTCGTCGTTGTCCCCCTGTTGCTGCTGGTGCTGATGCGCTTGCCCATCCTACTACGCTACTAAGCCGTGCCCCCCCCCATCGCTCCCTCACAACTGCTTCGCACTCTGAATGGCATTGGTGCTATGCGTTTCCGCTTTTTCGCGTCATAGGATCATCCGACGCCTCACGATATCTGTAGGATGACGCAG